CCGTCCGGCGGTCCTGGAGGCCTTCCCACTTCTGCCGACGGTACTTCTTCAGCAGGTGCTTCATCTGCTGATATTTTGTCATCAGGCTCACGAGTGCTCAAGATTTTCGCTCCCCTTTTCTCTGCTCGCTCTCACAGCAGCCATGGACTCTTCTCAGGTGCTGAATGCAATGTCCTCGCAGCTCTCCGCAGTAGCCCTTCTCACAGGAGACGGGCCTTCGGTGTTGGCAACCGCAGCCCCAGCGGCCCGACCTCAAGACTGGGACGTGAGTATTTCACAGAGTGATGCCAGCTCCTCACAGCCGGTGTCCAGAGCCGAGTGTGCAGCCATGATCACGGAGGCGCTGCAAACCAAGGTGGGACCGGCACTCCAAGCGGCCTTCTCACATGTGGGACAGGAGTTGACCCAGCACGCCGTGAAGATCAACACGCTGGAACAGGAGATCCGCATGCTCAAGATACGTACCGCATGGACCGAAAAAGATCTGATGTACTCACAGATCGAAGCTGCCGAACGTACCCTGGTGGTGCGTAATTTTCCAGAATGGGCTACGGCTGAAGACAGAGAGCTCACAATCGCCAGGGCTCTTCAAGACAACGGCCTTGGCCATCTGGAATGGGACCTCACAACCACCAGGATGGAAGGCAACAGTGGTGTGTTCTTGGCCCCGATCTCGATCCTCACAGCGCCGACCTACACGGCTCGCCGCAAAGTCCTGGATGCATGCTCCAGGGCAGTGGTGCGCTCTGGCACAAGATCGAGGAGGAAAAGACGCCTGCCGAGGACCAGGACAAAGAAAAGGACAAGGCTCAAAGCTCCGAGCCACAATCGGAGAAGGTAGCCGATGCAGGTGAAAAGGAGGAACCTGCCGCTTCCCCCTCACAGTGGGAGGAGGTACGTACATGGAACTGGAACACTCCGGTCAAGATGGCTCCAGGCATCACCCAGTTCGAGCCTCGCTTGGGAGCACCGATGCATGGCCTGATGAATGCGTACCAAAAGCTGTTCCCTCGCTTCAAGAAGGAGACCCTGGTGCCAAGGTGGAAGACGCTTATCCTTGAGGATCAGGAGGGTGCATGGTTGGGAAGAGTCTTTTACAGCAGGCGGCAGCGCAGCCTCACGGGGACCACAGGAACGGTCTCCGATGCGCGTTGCGAAGTTCAGCTCCACGCCGAGCACAAGGACCGCATCCTTGCAGCCTGGCGAGATGTGTGGTACAATCAGCTCATGCACCAGATCGAGCACACAGAAGTCGAGACAAAGGCTTTTGCTACGGCCTCACAGAAGACGAGCCAGGATTACGCGGCGGCGGCCCGGCTGAACCGCTTCCTCACAAGGGCGGTCCCTTCCTACACAGACGCCATGGAAGCCGAGATCAAGCTTGGAGATAGCCTCGTTGGCTTTGCGGCCCAAGGCACCAAGAGACAGTACTCCACAGGCACTATGGAACCCTACTACCCCTTCGACTCACAGGACGAGCTCCACCTGGCCGTGGAGGAT